AGGTGAGGAGGAGAGGGAGGTGAGAGAGGACAGGGAGGTGAGGAGGTGAGAGAGAACAGGGAGGAGAGGAGAAGAGGGAGGAGGGGAGGTGAGGGAGGAGAGGAGGTGAGGGAGGAGAGGGAGGAGAGGAGGTGAGGGAGGAAAGGGAGGTGAGAGAGGAGAGGGAGGTGAGGAGGAGAGGGAGGTGAGGAGGAGAGGGAGGTGAGAGAGGAGAGGGAGGTGACAGAGGAGAGGGAGGTGAGAGGACACGGAGGTGAGGGAGTTGAGAGAGGAGAGGGAGGACAGGGAGGTGAGGAGGAGATGAGGTGAGGGAGGTGAAGGAGGACAGGGAGGTGAGGAGGTGAGGGAGGTGAGGGGGAGAGGGAGGACACGGAGGTGAAGGAGGAGAGGGAGGTGAGGAGGTGAAGGAGGTGAGAGAGGACATGGAGGTGAAGGAGGTGAGAGAGGACATGGAGGTGAAGGAGGTGAGGGAGGACAAGGAGGAGAGGGAGGTGAGGGAGGAGAGGAGGTGAGGAGGTGAGGGAGGTGAGAGAGGACACGGAGGTGAAGGAGGTGTCATGATTTGAGCTCCTGCAGGTGTAGCTGAACGGGGCTCTGTGATTGGACGAGGAGTGTTACCTGCGTGACCACGATGTTGCAGTGGGAGGCTCTTCCGGTCTTGATGAAGCGGTCCAGGATGTACTGAGGAACCTGAGTGGTTTTACCGCAGCCTGTCGCTCCTCTGATGATCACCACCGCGTTGTTCTCCACCACGGACAGGATGTCCTCCTCAAAACGCTTCACCGGCAGCTGCTCGCGTTCTGACAGGACCTGAACCACAGGAGGAGGAACATAGCTCTGCTGAATATAACATGTAGAAGAAGAGGAGGAGGAGGAAGAGAGGAGGAGGAAGACGAAGAGGAGGAGGAAGAGGAGGAGAAAGAGAGAAGAAGAAGAAGAAACCAGGCTGACCTTCTGCAGGTTCTCGTCATGTTCCAGTTGGTACATCAGCTCATCCTGCAGGTCGCTGCTGATCTGCTCCGGAGTGCACTGAGTACAAAACATGGTGACATCACCACAGAGCAGCCAATAGCAGCCAGAGGAACAACTACTGGGGTGCTATTGACCCAGAGCAGCGTCTGACAGGCAGAGGACACACTACCAGGATCCTATTGCCCCGATCATTGTCTGACCCAAATCCCCACTACATACTGATACTCCTGTCATAGTTCAATATTAAACATCAACATAGAAGTGCTTTATAGGTCCTCCTAAAGCACCTGCTGGTCTGTAAACCACCTGTAGTGATTCATTAGTGAACTGAATATCTGTCCATAAATATCAATGATACCAATACAAATATAAGGGCCTCTCCAGTACTTTAAGCGAAAGGACAAAGACTCACGTAGGCCAGCGGCCCCTCGTCGATGTTGCTGCTGGTCCAGGGGTTCCAGTTGACCTGCGGAGGCGACCAGGGGACGACCCCGGCTCCGCTTTGACGCTGCGACGGCTCAAACGTCGCCAACTTCCCCTGAATCAGAGACACCGAGTTGGAGGGGTCTGCGGGCTGGACGGGACCACAAGAACCCAGTTAGAACATCCACATTATATTTGCCCCTTAAGACGGATCCAACACACTGATCGGGGCTCAGCTCTGGAGACTCACAGGAGGAGGGATGTGGACTCCGAGCTGCTGGACGACGTTGGCGAGCTGCTGCTGGAGGTCTGGAGACACGTTGACCTCGAACGCCTCCAGCTGGACAGTAAACACATGACATCACACAGTGAAAACATCGAATCACTCAGCAGGAAACCTGTTCGCCGGTTTGAACCGATGCAGCCGGCTTACGGTTTCTCCCTCCTTCTTCTTGGTGACTCCGGAGAACGCCTCCAGGACCCCGAGGTGGTACAGCTGACGCACCAGAGACAGAGCACACGACTGAGCCGCCAGCTTCTTGTTGGAGCCGTGCTCTCGAGCTGTGATCCCTGTACAAAGTACGACATGTACCTCTGAGCTGTAGAACTTTAGTGAATGTAAATGGGTGTTTGTGTTTACAGAATATCATATACACACATACATATATATATATATTATGCTGTATATACACACACACATATATATATATATTATGCTGTATATACACACACATATATCCACACATACATACACATCCATACATACACATATACACACACACATATATACATACATATACACATATACATACACATACATATACATACATATATACATACATATACAGTTGTGTGAAAAAGTGTTTGCCCCCTTCCTGATTTCTTATCTTTTTGCATGTTTGTCACACTTAAATGTTTCAGATCATCAAACAAAT